GGAGGAGGGCTGTGGTATTAGGGAAATTGAGCGATTTCAACGGATTTCAACGGTACCTTGCCGTGGAGGGGTTAGCTATAATTGTTTACGCCTCGTCTACTTTCGCAAAAGGCGGAAAACCATTGTACGACGGTGGTGCGTTGCTCGCCTCTCTCNGACGCAAATCCTTGCTACGTTTAAATATTCTTTATAGCGAAGGTTTGCGTCACTATTGCCCGATTTTAAATTGAAGAGCGGCGGCGGGGAGCAGGGAATACTGTATTTCTTGCAACCTGCCTTATCGTCCCGAACGAGGAGTTCATCGATGCTCNCATAAATGTCTGCGTTGTCGCGGTGTGCCGTTGTGCGAAACAGAAGAAGTAGAATTAATTCAATGCGAGCAATGTAAGAGAATGTTTTACGGGCGCGAGTGTTTCGAGCGTCACCGAGCCGAAAAATCGTACGGAGACGGTCGCGTGAGCGTGTGCAGCGCCTTGCAATTTTGTAATGATTGCGGGCGTTTGTACAGAACAGCGAGTGCGAGGCACGAATGCGGCGTCGTGTTTTGTAACATTTGCAGTTCGCGTCAAGATGTAAACCATCTTTGTTATATTCGATCTTTTACACGCGAGGATTTCACCGGCAAAGAGAAAAACGCGCGCGTCGCATTCGTGTTCTACGATTTCGAGACCCGACAGGATGAGACGCTCGAAGGTACAGCGTCTATGAAAATTCACGTGCCCACTCTTTGCGTCGCACAGCAGATCTGCGTCGCGTGTGCGGGCGAGGACGACATGACGATACGTTGCCGGTGGTGCAATGTGCGCAAATTCGTGTTCCGCGATGATCCGGTGAGGCAATTCGTCGATTTTGTTACGAGAACGACGAAATGTTTCAAGCAGATTATCTGCATCGCGCACAACGCCAAGGCGTTCGACGCGCAGTTCATCCTTCGTTACATCACGGAAAAACGTGGCGATTTGGATCCACAAGTAATATTAAACGGGACAAAGATTGTCGTATTAACGGCCGGGCGTACAAAATTTATTGACAGTATCAACTATATGCCNATGCGTTTGTCAGCTCTGCCGCAAGCTTTCGGTTTGCGGGGTAGGGTGGAAAAGGGATATTTTCCGCATTTATTTAACACACTCGCGAATCAGTCGTACGTCGGTCCGTTACCAGCCGTTGAATATTACTCGCCGGATAGTATGTCTAGCGAAGAACGCGAACGTTTTTTGTCGTGGCACGCGGAACAGATGCGCGAAGACGCAGTTTTTGACTTTCAACGCGAGATAGTGCGTTATTGTCGTAACGACGTTGATATCTTGCGGCGAGCGTCCATGGCTTTCCGCAAGATATTTCTCGAGCGCGGAAACGTATGTCCGTTTGAAGAATGCACGACCATCGCTTCCACATGCATGCGCGTTTTCCGCAAAAACTTTTTACGTGAAGAAGAGATCGGCGTCATTCCTCGCGACGGATATAGCCTCGCGGATACGCAATCCCGCAAAGCTCTGCAGTGGCTGGTGTGGAAGAAGCGCGAGCTCGGCCGCATTATTGTTCACGCGGGTCACGGGCAAGAACATCGTCTCGTGGAAGTCGGAGGCATTCCCGTCGACGGGTATTACGAGACGGCGAACGGTGAGCGTCACGTGTTGCAATACCACTGCTGCTTTTGGCACGGGTGTCCCGTGTGTTTTAAAACGAAACGCGACAAACGTCTCTGCACGGGGGAACGCGAAGTGTACGACACGATGAACTCGCGATACGAGCGTACACTGACAACGTCATGGCGTCTTCAAACAAGGGTACATCGTGACGGAGAAATGGGAGTACGCTTTTGATCGCAATACGCGGGAAAATCGCGAAATGCAAGCGTTTTTAGACCAACATCCNATGCTCGCAGATAAACCGCTTTCACCGCGTGACGCGTTTTTCGGCGGTCAAACGGGAAACATCACGATTCGGCGCGAAATTACGGGTACGGAGAAAATACGTTACGTAGACGTGTGTTCTCTATACCTTTACGTGTTGAAAACCGGCGCTTTCCCGATTGGACATCCGAAAATTCTTGTCGGACAAAAAGAGTGCGCCTCGCTCATCGGGGCGATATCCGGTGTCAATATTTCCGCGGTCGAAGGGCTTGTGCGTTGTAGAGTGCTCCCTCCGCGCAATCTCTTTCACCCTGTACTCCCGTACCGCGTGCAGGGCAAACTACTGTTTGCTTTGTGCCNCAGTTGCTGCGAAAACTTCTCGCAGACACAGTGCTCGCACGAAAATCTACGCGATCGTGAATTCGAAGGCGTGTGGGTATCGTGTGAATTACGCAAAGCTGTGGAANAGGGTTATTTCGTGAGTGCAGTGAGCGAGATATGGCAATACGAGACGAGCCGATACGACGCTGATACGCGTCAAGGAGGATTATTTGCCGAATACATAAACTGTTTTCTCAAATTGAAGCAAGAGGAGAGCGGATGGCCGAGCGAATGCGTGGGCGACCAATCTAAAGAACGATATCTTCGAGAATACAAAGCAGTCGAGGGTATCGCTCTAGATAGAGCAAACATTGCGCAAAATCCAGGTCTACGCTCGGTCGCAAAGCTGTGCCTCAATTCGTTTTGGGGAAAATTCGGGCAACGATCGAACTTGACGAGTACCGAGGTGGTAAAGTCGCAGGAACGTCTCGTATTGCTATTGTCGAGCCCCGAGCACGAGGTAACCGATATATTACCTGTAAATGACAAGGTAATATATGTTTCGTGGCGAATGCGGGACAAGGCGGTTGTATCCTCTCCGATTACCAACGTGATAATAGCGGCGTACACGACGGCACAGGCGCGATTGAAACTGCACGAATATTTAGAACGTTTAGGCGAGCGCGTTCTTTATTACGATACAGATTTGTGTATTTATGTGAGCAGCGGAGAACCCGGCAAATACGAACCGCGTACGGGAAATTTCCTGGGCGATATGACGGACNAGCTCNAAGGCTACGGNCGTGGTAGTTACATCGAGTCGTTTGTATNCGGTGGCCCGAAATTTTACGCGTACGTAGTTTGTACTCCGGACGGTGGCGCGCGGGAGGTGTGTAAAATCAAGGGAATAACTCTCAATTCCGCAACCTCCCGCATAATTAATTTCAATAGGGTTAGGGAAATGTTAATGAGAAGAGAGAGAAAAGAAGAAAATGTGTCGATAAATCTGCATTTTAGAGCGATCTGTCGCACCGCTTTTCACGAGGTTGTGACGCGGGATGAATCAAAAATCTGCTAGCCGGTTTTGCTGAAGCGTAGATTTATCGACGAGCGACGCTCCGTTTCATACGGCTATTTAGAATAAGACTTTTTTCCGCGCATTTTCTTGTAAATAGTTTGTATATTTTAAACGTTCTAGTAAGAGTTAAAATTGTATATATATATGTATATGTTTTCTGTCCAAACAAGTCACAATGTAAGCAAGCGTTTTGTACAATAAAAGAAAAATATATAAGTTATTTTAACAATTGTGTGTAAAAATAAGGTTATAAAATGCGAGATTTTCTGTACATGTTAGTAGATTAAGCAATAGGTACACATTTTGTAAAACGTAATATTTTAGTGTTATTAAATTTTTATTAAAACAAAATTAAAAGATTTCTTTTTCCCGATCTCTGTTTTCTTTTATCCGTAAAAACTTTTTGATATAACCTCAACAAAAAGCTATAAGCTTATATTGGCGCGCGCGTTTGACGAGCTTATTTTTGCGCGCGCGACAATAAGCTGATTTTTTTATTAAAACAGCTTTTCATTCATCCGAAATAAGCTCACCGTTGTCGCGACAAAAATTAGCTGAATTTCGCGGCAAAACGCGGCCGCCGCGGGGCCCAACGCGCGATTGTGAGTTCATCGTCGCAAACTAAAAACAGTTTAATTTAAGAGTTATACAAGCGGCAATTTGTACAGTCTTCGAAATGGACGTGCGCTGGAAACATCCCTGGACGTCGATCGTTTGCGGTCCTACAGGATGCGGGAAAACAATTTTTGGAAAGATTTTTCTCCGTTATTTGCCGAAAATGGCGAATATTCAAATCGGGAGAATTTTATTTTATTACGGCGAGTGGCAAGAAGCCTATCTCGAGTTGCAACGCGAGATGGAAAAATGTAAAATCGAATTTCGCGAAGGACTACCCCGCCCGGAAGATTAATCAAACGATCCGCTTTGTGCGAAATTAATAATAATCGACGATCTTATGCGAGAATCGTCGGCGTGCAAAGTGATCGTTGATTTGTTTACCAAGGGTAGCCATCANAAAAATCTTAGCGTTATACTTATTTCACAGAATCTNTTTCATCAGGGACGCGGTCAATGCGATATTTCGCTGAATGCGAATTACATTGTGGTTTTCAAGAACCCGCGCGATTGCGCGCAAATTCGCCATCTCGCGCGTCAAGTCTATCCTGACAACGCAAAGTTTTTGGAAGAAGCGTACTACGACGCCACTTCGCGTCCTCACGGTTATTTACTGCTCAATTTGAAACAATCAACACCGGACGAATATCGTTTTCGAACGTGTATCTTTCCCAACGATCCGCGTCATTACGTGTACCTCGCAGATCCCTCGCGTAAAAACAAGCGTATAAAAACCCGAAGCACACGAGGGAAGGGCATCATTCGAAGCTACGATGCCGACGAAGGAGCGGAAGAAGCAACAAAAGGCGCATATTAGAGCTAAGCGCTCTCTCGGTGAAAAAACATCTGTCTACTGAAAGCTCTGTGTCTTCTAAATAAAAATCAACGCGCTGCTTTTCTGCAAAACGCTGATAACAAATTCATCGCGTGTATTCGCGAGTGTGTCCACAATACGCTCAGAGGTACGGTACCGCTCGAAAAAAGAGAGAAAAACCGTTTAATCCGATACAAAACGGCGCTGCGACGTATCGCGGAACNAAGAGGTATTTGGAGGTGCAAGAGAAACCTGCTGGTGCAACAAGGAGGCTTTTTATCGTACATCATCGGGCCCATACTCACAGCTTTATTATCTCGAATTATCGAGTAAACATGGGACGGACTAAAAAAATGGTGCTGATTTCTACGGATAATCTCGAAAGAATGCAACAACGAATGGCGGGGGAAAATACCACTGCTAATACCACACGCACTCCCGGAATCGTGCTCTCGCGTCTCGACGCGGAGATGAGACGTATTCTCGATTNCCCTGTTGATGAAGGTGAAAAATGGAAATTGTACAGCAAAGTACTTTGTTGATATCTGTATTTTATCCGAAAAGCGAGAAAGCGTTCTCGCAAAGAAAAAGATCCATCTGTGGCGGAAACAACTGCTGTGACTGGTGAAGAAAGGGAAGAGAAGGAGGACGAGGAAATGAGAGAACTATTTCACGACGCGGAAGAACCAATGGACGCTTTGCCTCAAACATCCTCTGTTTTACCAAAACATTATTCAACACCATTACGACACAATAATAATAATAGTCACTGTTATAAGGTGCTAGTGTAAAATTAAACAGTATGTTGAGTTGTATGTTTAGTTATATGTTTGTGTTATCGATCAGTTTAAAGTGCTTGTTATAAGGTTATCGGGGCTACTGGAATCCGACGCTAGGCGAAATGTGATGGCGCGTCCGAGGACGCGCTGGCCAGCGGTCGCACGCGCGGCCGAAAAGATGCAGTGGTCTGCATTGCACTTTTCGGACACCGGATATCGTCCGGTTTTTCCTTTGCCAATCACGATTGATTAGCTGAGGTATAAAAACCGGCGTCACCCGTGCATCGTTGGAATAATCCCAAAACGTGTTGCGGCCGGAAGCTCTGCTCGACAGAGCGTCGCTTGTGGGAACTTAGAAGTTAGGAATTTAAGGTGAATCAAGGTGTAAACACGAGTTGTAAAGAAACGTGTAATTATATAAAATAAAATCTGTGGTGCTACAGTAATAAATCAGATATCTTTTCGACGTCCCTCCTCGCGGCATCCTAAGGACCCCACGGGGTAACATCACTATCAACGGATTAATCAGTCAACTCCGAAGAAAACTGCATCATTTGCAGATATTTCATTTAACAACAGCAGCGCAACGAGCTCTCGCGAACGAAAAACTATAACAAACATAATAGAAACAATTCCAAAAACTTACCGCCCCAAAGCGCGAATGCTTTTGAATCATCTGATCGAAACGGCTGTTCCCGTCAAGATCATATGGAACAAACGCGGCATCGTGACCAAGAGTCCAGAATTGGTGGGAGCAAATATTGTGGAACTCGTAAACGATGCGATGCAAGAAAGAAAAACCGCTGGAATACTGGGGGCTATTCATTTCGCTCATTTACTTTGCGACATAAACACGCCTCCTCAATACGTGGGAAATTCTAAATATTTACGCTTTTTGCGAAAAGGAGGAAAAAGAACAAAGCACAAATCTCCGCATAGTATTGAACAAGAAGAAGAAGAGGAAGGATGGGATTACCGCGCCACCGACAAGATAGAACAAGATAAGAACAAGAAAAAGATACAAATCGGGATTCCGAGACGGCTGCTCACGTGGGACAAAATGTAAACAAAACGCTTGACAAGTTGTATTATAATCCCGCGCACTACGTCGGTTACTCGTCGACGGAAAATTTGTCGCGAGCCGCTAAACCGAATTACTCGCGCGAGAACGTTGTTCGCTGGCTTCGTTCGCAAGATGCTTACACGCTACATCGTCCCGTGCGGCGAAAGTTTCNCCGACTGCATTACAACGTGACGAATATCGACGAACTCTGGGAGGCTGATTTGATAGAATTGCGAAATTTGCGAAGCTATAACGACGGATATTGCTATTTACTGACAATTATCGACGTGCTCAGCAAATTCGCGTGGGTGGAACTGTTGCGAGACAAAACAGGTGCTTAAGTCCTTCGTGCGTTTCAACGCANGCTCTCGAGAAGTAACGGACGAAGACCCGTATATCTGCAAACCGACAAAGGTAAAGAAGTTATCGCGCATCTGCTGCAAAAATTAGTAGTTCTTCCGAGCAATAGCAGTATGCTTTACTTCCCGCACAACACCACTTTGTGTTTTACCACGGATNTACCTCGCCGTATAGATTTGCAGGGAAATTGGGAAGTTGTTCTCAGCAAGATTCAGTTTCCTTCTAGTTTTTTACATTTACGCGAAAATGAAGCTCTGATAACGCTCACGAATACCTTTCTTAACGGCGATATTTCGTCAGTTAACATTTCAATTTTGTCGGGAAGTTATTTTTCAGAAGCTGATCTTATAGACGCCATAAATCATTTGTCCTCTTGAGAAAAATCGCATATTACATGGTCACTGAATCCGCTATATGGTAATAAAGTTTCTATATTGCTTAAATGTAAAGAAGACAAATGCAATCAAATTCATTGTGTAAAGCTTAGCGACAAATTGCGTCGTATACTCGGATTTGAAACATCTTCTGTTAATACACCTTTTGTAGTAGACAGGATTGCTGGTGTCAATAGTTTTGAACCAATCAGCTTAGCCCGTGCTATCCCCGAGAAGTTATTTGTTTATTGCAACATTTGCGCGTCATACATAACCGGAAATGCGCTTCTTCGAATGGTTACTTCTAATACGCGAATAAGTACGAATAAGTAATAAAGTTCTACTCAGGTGAACACTACTTGTTTGGAAATTATATTCTGCTTTGTAAAACAAATTTCCGCGTGATAAAAATAGATATAAGAGATCTGTTTGGTAAATTTGTTCTATTCGAATTCGGCACGTTGACGGTAACGTTACACTTTAAACGCGTATTTGAGTAGAATATGGCTCATTATATGGAATATTACGAGATGAAGAGCGGGGGCGGTGTTCCGAGAGTTTTCACGGGATTGACGTATCAGCGTGGTCACGGTATCGGANGCTTTCTCGGCGGATTGTTCAAGAGGGTGCTTCCCTACCTGGCTAGCGGAGCGCGCGCGATCGGAAAAGACGCTCTACGCGCCGGTGTGAGAATAATAGACGATGTGGGGAATAACAATATTCCGTTAAAAGAAGCAGTTAACAGTTGTTTCAAAAAATCACATGACAATCTCAAACAACAAGCAAAAGAAAAAATAAACAGCCTAATGCGAGGGTCGGGATATATACCCTTTGCAAAGAAACGCCCGGGTCAGTTTGACCCTGGTGAGCTCCCCGTTCACTTCGCGATCAAGCGTCGCCGTCGTGCTAGTAGCACCAACAAGAAATCGGCTTCCGTGCGGAGAAAAAAGAAAACTCGAGCAAATAAACGCCCAACGAGTAGAGGAATTCAGAAGAAAAAGAAAAAGAAGAAGAAGAGCGCGCGACAAAAACTAGCAACCGCCGCGTGAGCAAGAAACGAACCGTGACCGATATATTCTCGTAGACGAAGCATAATGTCTTTTCTCCATACTCACTCGTGTGAGTGTTTCAAAAGCGAACTTGATCTTTTCACTCTACCGCCCACTCAGACCAGTATCGAGAGTTTGCAATGGATTCATTACAAACCTTTGTCGACTCTTGCGGACGACGCTCCCGTGGAGTTTGTCGTACCGGGAGATGGTGAAGATTACATAGATCTCGCGCATACTCTTCTCAGTCTTCGCGTGATATTGCAAACCCTCGCAGCGGTTACTCCGGCTACTTTGGCTACAGCTTCTGCTGCTGCAAAGCATAAAGTAGGGCCTGTAAATAACTTTTTACATTCCATGTTCAATCAAATCGATGTGTACTTCAATCAAAAGCTTGTGTCGCCTCCGAACAATGCTTACGTGCATCGAGCATATTGCGAGACATTGTTGAATTATTCTTCAGCAGCAAAATCCTCTTATCTCACCACCTGTTTATAGGATAGCGATCCTCCGGGGCGGTTGGATCCTGGATTTGATGCTCCAACTGAGAACCCCGTTCTCGTGAGACGTATGCAGTATTTCAAAAATAACCGTGCTGTGGATCTCATAGGACATCTACACTGCGACGTTTTCAATCAGGATAAATTCTTGATTAATGGCGTGGAAATGCGTCTAAGACTCATCCGCTTGAAAGATTCTTTCTGTCTCATGGAATCTACCGCAGACAAGAGTTCGTATTGTAGACGCCACCTTGATCATGAGGAGAGCAAAACTAAGCGCTGGAGTTTTATTAGCTCACGCTAAAATGCTGAGCAAAACCACTGCAAAGTATCCTCTCACGAAAGTTAAAGTTAAATTGTTTACAATCCATAGAGGAGTGGTGGGGGAATCAATTGACAACGCCATACTCGGGCAACTGCCGAAGCGAGTGATAATCGGTTTTGTCGAAAATAAGGCGTTTAACGGCGATAGTAAACTTAATCCGTTTAATTTTAAAAACTTTAATATAAATTTCCTGTTGCTTTACGTCGATGGAATGCAAGTTCTTACTAGACCGTTACAACCTTCTTTTTTAAGAGACTCTCCTCTCTACATCGAGGCTTTTCATACTCTTTTTTTAGGAACGGGTATTCATTTTCTAAACAAAGGCAATGCTATAAGCAGAGATGCTTATGCTCACGGATACACACTCTGAATTTATTTTTTATATTTCTTTTAATTTTTTTTTTCACTGTAAATTTATTNCAAAAGAAGTGGCGTATGTCGCGGTAGACCGACCGATTTTCGGAAACTGGATCTTGATGCCTCCGTTCTCGTTTACCGAATTACCACAAAAATCAAAACGATGCAACGATTGGCTTACACAAATTTATCACGGTATCGAATGGTTTGACGGTGAAACCAATCTCAAATATTTCACGAGACATCTACGAGAAGTCACCAAATACGCTCCCGTCATCTACACCAGAGGCAAAGAAAAAATGGATTTCTTAGAAAAGCTTTTGTCTAAAAACATATATAATCTAGAAGCTCTCTCTCCGTCGTTCAAATCTATCTCNAAAAGCGAAGAGAACATATCTCAGTGTTTGTATCACGGAGTTCGCTCATCGGACATTAGTTGCGCTCTACGTAACGTTTTTTGGTTAAAACACTGGTTAAACCTAAACAGCGTTAAAGAACATCTCGATAGCGGCTCTATCAGCGATGAGATCAGCATGATACAATCTGACGACATCAAACCGGAGGAGGAGAAAGAACAACTAACAGAAGAAGAAGATACGCGCAGTAAAGACGATTGCCCACCGAAAACCTCCTGCCTAAACAACGTCGCTGTACAAACAGAGGTACAAGGGGAATACATAAGATTCACTCCGCTTTCTCGCGACTATCTGTATCGAAATAATGAATACGAAAGAAATATTGCAAGCCTTGCGAACTGCAAATATCTGGACACACGGGAGTTTATCCAGCCGACAAATTGCCCAGAGTGTGGACGAAGTGGACAGCAATCGTCGCTAACACAGACAATCACAATCAACCAGGAACCCACTGGGTTGTTTTCTTCCTCGATGGAAACAGACACGCCACCTACTTTGACAGCTATGGAATACCGCCGTCAGATTCCCGCTTTTGCGACTTCGAACAAATTCCGCAACGCACACATAG